GGTAGAGTGAGGACTCGGAGTGTGCCTCGACATCGCCAGCGAACTTGAGACACGAACTACAGTCTGACATCTTTTTGGGCTCCGAGACGGTCAGGCCTAGCGAAAGACATATGTACAACGAAATGAGATATGAGGACGAGGCTAGATAGTGGGCGTGGAGAGGTGGGAAGAGGAGGGTGGTATGACCGATCAAAATAGCAGTTACTTCAAAAGTGCGACGACCCCTTCATTAACAGCCATGGGCCATTAGCGGACGAGAACCATCTAGAACCGTCCTGAGACAAGTACTTAAAGGTCAGAAGTCTACGAAGATCATAAAGCCCAGTTTTCGTAATAGCTTTCTGGCAGTGTTGACAGAGTGAGTGATTAAGATTTGGGTGAGCAAACTTTCGCTCCTGAGACAGCAATCGATAACGGAAGCCCGAAATTGGACTTTGGGGTGTGGGAAAGTTTTTAGGCATCGGTGCACAAAGTATAGGCCCTCAGTCCTCGCCAATACAATGGGAATGCGTGCTGCGTGAGCGTCTTTCGAATCACAGACCCGTGATCCCTAGAATTCAAGATCCTCGTGGTGAATTAGCACTCACCTCACCACAGGGGCACCTCCAACTCTTTCTGAGGACACGACGGCGAACGCGGTCTTGCGAAAGACCGAACCAAGAACACTAAAAGGACGCTTTGCCGACGCACTTGTGGTCTGCTCTAATCCTTAGCATTAGTTACTCAGTTGCGTCACGAAGATGACATTCACTCAATTGCAAAAATCAGGGTACAAATTGCATTGCCGTTTTTTCGGTTGGAAACGCTGGGCTCTGATAGGCGACGATCCAAACAATGAGCAAAATGGATGACGTCAGTGTGATTCAAACCCATGACAGCAAGGGGAAAGCTTGGGTACAGCCAAGGCTCCAACCACCTGAACTACGAGGTCCCACTGGATGCCGAGAGTTTAATCACATTTGAGTCAAGTTACCTGGCCAGCCTACTGCAACGTATGGAATCCACCAAATCTGATACAGTAAGCTGACTGCCCAAGCAGCACTTCCTAAGTAATCAATTTAGAATCCACCAGACGACTACGAAGCTCAGTTAATCAATGTTTTGGCAGATTTCTGCTACCTATGTGACAACGCTAAAAGGCTGCTACGGTTAGTCGACAAGAACCAGCTGCTAGTAGGAAAAACCAGCCGTTTGAAGCACCACTGCAAGCATCAACTGACCAACCACTTTAAGGTTTAGTTACGAACCAAGTCAACACAAGTGTACAGCTTGGTCCGCTAGATAGGATCGCGAACCCATTGCGACGAAGCAGCGACTCTCATTAACCATGTCTCAGACGTCGGCAAGGCTCAAAAAGTCGCCTTTTCATCTAAGTGGCAAGTTTCCTGCATTGTGGGGCTCTTCAAAGTGTGGGCGGTAACTTTGCTGTCGATAAATTGACCAAAATCGTGAACTGGTGTGAGGACTTCAGGCACCCTCTCGAATTCCATGGCCTACCAATCACTACCTCGCCTTAGTAACAGGATATCGTCCTTCTGTTGCTTTTTAATTCCCTCAGAAATTAACTGTGCACTTGGAGTAGAGCAGTATATTCTAGGTCTATAGGCGCAGACTGAAATTTTTATGCATGAATATTTGGGCCGAAATCCATCAGCCATAGCGGGTAACCACGTAATATTCATTAACCGCCGACAGGCTAGCCATGCAGTGGCAGAATATCGGCGAAACACGCGTGTCTGGGCTTTAGGCTAGTAACTGTGCTGTTAGTATGGTACCCCCCTTACCCAAAAACATCGTCCTTTTGTCTACATAGGACCCTTGTTATCGATAAAAAACCATGGCCGTTGTAACACTGAGACTGCACAACAGCAAACCTTCCTGAGAGCACGGAGATTCCTAACAAAGTCCGCAAGTCTTGCATCTGTACTCCAGTATTCTGACTCAAAGAGTCGATCAAACAAACATCTGATAGTTCGACCGTAATTGCCGACGATGTCCACGTGTGCTTCACATTGAGGTGAAGCGGCACGGTGACTTGCGCGTGATTTAGTTTATAGTGAATGTAGACTTGCGCTGCACCTATCGTACTCTCTCCCCCTACCTACCTGAGCCCGGTGCCAAGAGAGAGTCAACAAGACCGGAGGCGGAAGAGGGCGCAAATGGCTAGAGCGGCCGGGGCCGCCAGTAAGCGTGCCGCCATACCCGGCTCGTATTCCATGAGTGAGAGTGCCATAAAGGCCATAATGAGAAGGAGCCATTGCAGCCTGACTCTTAGACCACGCGTCGGCCGCTCTACACACACATTGGGCTGACTGTGAGATCCAAGTTAACCCGTCAGTTGTCACCCAAGCCACGGCTTTTAGCGCACCATGATAACTTCAAGCGCATCAGATTGCTTACAGTGAGGAAAATGCGCTGAGTCGTCGACCTCACTCGTCCCTTTCATTCCCAAGCATAGGAAGGCGAGATCGTTCCTACTAACTGCGGCTCGGTCATCCTTGTGTGTGAAAAGAGTGGGAAAGTAGACAAAGAGCGAGAACTATCACGACACAAATCTCATGGACTTTGCTGCAAAGATCCTCCCCATCATCATTTTTGGCGGCTTCCGGGTGTGTGTTTCTAGGATGAGACCCCATCTAGACGATACGAATGTGGATACACTGAATAGAACATGTTCAAACCGCATCATGGCTCCCAGCAACGAACGACCACCTGCCTTATCGACGTCGCTGCAGCTTTTGCAACATTCATCGTGAGTGTCGGTGGCAGGTATGGTTTGACGGCAGGGAGCTATCCCTGTGGGCAAGGCCTAAAATCGCTTCTCAAGTACGAGAAAAGTGAATCTTATCAGACACCGTTGCTTGAGAAATGTCATCTGAGTTAAGTACACCAACTTTGTCTCGAGTGAAAAGGCAGCGCCTACGGTGATTACTTCGTGAGGTTATCTCGGGACACAAGTCTGTCGAATTCCTATGGTCAGGCTGATGCAGAACGAACACTTGCCTTATCAATGCGCAAGGACCTTCAGATAGCGAGGAAAGGAAAGTATAATGTGGTCGCTTGTCAGGTCGGCGTAAATACCTGAGTCCCGTTACAGACGAAAGCGAAACTACCCTGGGTAACTAGACAAAGTAACACCTCGAAAGTTCACGCTAATTTGCGTGATTTTTTCTTGGAGCCTAACACTTAAAATTCGCGTGGTATTAAGTGTCTCAGTTCAGTCTCGGAGACGAGGGTGGGCACAAGGCAGCGGATATTAGACGTAAATGTACGTGCACTATGAACGGTATCCTACCGTATGTACTTTTAATACAGTACTGTAAACGGTTACTTTTGCCTGTACAATTTAAAATTTGAATTATGAAATCCATTTTAAGCGTACTTAACGTGTTTCGAAGACATATTTGGTGTTTAACACATGCGAATGGGTATTTATCGACCCTCTTTAGTTGTTCGTCTAAAATCCACGCATATCCGTGGTTTTCAGAGGCCTATGAATGTAAGCCACGAAAATTTCGGGGCATTGCTGTACGCTGCCGTTCATACATAGGTAAAATCGTCCGCAAAAAAGAGATCATAAGTCTCTCAGGACAAGGGGCGCGACCAAACCCAGTGAATAAGATGATCGAGTGTGGGCGAGTAAAATCCCGTCAGTTTAATCTATGACATCAGCTCTCAGATGGAGAAATAATGAGAATTTTACAGATATACTATCGGAGGGGTATTGTGAAGCTACCGTAAGTGTATATAAAACTGTGTACGAGTGCGCTGGATTATGATGCATTTGCATTGTGCGATCATTCTGGCTACATTCAACCAGCTACTTGCATAAAAGTCAGCGTAAAAACCGAGTCATATCTGGAAGATTAAACCCCATGATAGTTCTATATTTTCCAAATACATTATTCAAGGGAATAATAAATCCCCTCAGACAGTATAAATAAGCACAAAATAGGGACGGTTCCTAGGCTGGCTAGCGAACTATGGGCGGGTTTAAAATAGCAAATACTGGAGAGCGGGGAGGGGGACCAGGACGAGCATGTGATAAGAAGCGCACAGGTGGGGCTTACTTTGCAATTTTTTGGGATCCATGGTGGAAATTTCGGCTGGTAATTTCTTTCCGATAATCTCCACCTCTCCGAGGCCACCGGTGGTGGGAGCGGAAGTCAACAGCTGACCTGGCCGCAGCCCTAGGCTGGCTGCACAGGTACTTACGTTGGAAATGCCACTCATTCAGATAGCTGAGATGAGATTAGTGCGAAAGAGAGGGCGATTTCGACGGGGCGTGGGGAGTAGTCCGTTTATTCAAGAAGAACGGGGTGCCGATTGGGGAGGAAAGCAAACAGTACTGTTGCTACCTCTACAAGGAGGATCGACCCGAAGACTAGGGAAGGTTAGAAAGCTTGGGTGGCGCGGATGAAGGCGCAAAATAAGTAATCCACCGCTGCTGCTGCTGCTGCTGCTGCACGCCGACAGCGAAACTCCAGATGCCCATTAGGGTTTATGGCAGTGGCGTTTCCGGCGACGATGGGGCAAACAGTGCAGTGGCCGCTCCTGGTTGTTGATTAAATCCGTTTTATTCCAGGTTTAAGCACTGGAGAGGGAGCATAAAATAGGTTTGCAAGTTTATAGGAGTTGACAAAAATCTAGATGTGCACGGACAAAGTTGCTAGATCTGCAAGAACATAAGGGTAGGGTGCAATGATAGCTAATAGCATTTCTCTAATTGCTCCCCACGTTCCAACCTTTGTATTATGAGTCGAAATTTTACCTAGGGCGTGATAAAACAGAAATTACTACTACAGTTTCACATTTTTCTCAGACAGATTGAGACAAAGGACTAAAGACTCAATTTAACAGTTATACGGGAGCGATATATGCGATGAACGAGGTGTGGAATTTCGTTTTGTCACGGAACAACAGTCTGAAGCCTGTGCGGGACATCGCATTGGGGCGATCTTCAATAATAGGGTAATAGAAGAGGAGGTAAAGCAGTGGCGATGGCGGCGGTAGTAGTAGTAGTGGTAGAAGTAGTAGTGGTAGTAGTAGTAGTAGTAGTAGTAGTAGAAGAAGAAGAAGAAGAAGAAGAAGAAGAAGAAGATGATGATGATGATGATGATGATGATGATGATGATGATGATGATGATGATGATGATGATGATGATGATGATGATGATGATGATGATGATGATGATGATGATGATGATGATGATGATGATGATGATGATGATGATGATGATGATGATGATGATGATGAACTAGCCAATCAAGTTGGAAACCGACAAACTTAGGAAACCACCTTGGCATCCTACGAAGGTGTAATTTTTAGTATAATGGCTCAGGTGAACCAAAACCCTACTCTACACCTACCAACAGTTGGGAAAACAGTGACTCCGAATACAGAAGACATGCGACATGAGAAAACGTTTTTGGGAGAACAACAGTGAACTGGCGACAAAAGCAAGGGCACCAAGAATGGGTCTCCGGAGACTGCGTTAAAGAAGTGGAGGATAATACAGAAAAAAACAGGAATGTGGCGGACACTGTTGTGGTGAACAGGGTGGAAAAATGGCACAATTTAAGTAGTAGCAAAATGGGTCACGAGGGGTCGTCACTGTCAGCGGACTAAGTGGCAGGAATTAATACCACGACGGCTGTTAGAGTTACATTGACAATATGAAATGTATTTAAAATCTGATTAAACTGGCAGGATAAAGCTGCGTCTCCGGCCTGGAGAAATCACCGACCACCTTTAGGAAGTGAACAGTTTGAACTAGCTTCAGAGCATGTTGCTACAGAATTACTAGTACGGAAATCACAGCCTGCTGCTGCCTGCGCTTTTTAAAGACTTAGGCGCCAAAATTCAGACGAGATATTGCGATCACCACGGACATTCGCTTTTACCGCGCATCCGTTGGCTAGTCTTCCTCGACGGTTGTACGCTGGTCGCTAGGAGTCGTGCGACCTGTGTAAGACTTATCGCTGTAGCCAAAATTGTTTGATCCCCTTCAGATGGATACATGAAAAACCCGACCGCCGGCGGGTCGCGCCAACATCTGCCCTATCAGGCAGTTGACCTGTGGTTTTTGGAAACCTGCTGGCGGTTTGAGCGCCGTCGAGGTCCTCAAAGAGCTGAAAAAAACTGTCGACGAACAAGCCCAGAAAATGGTGACTGAATTCCGGCGGTCTACGAAAGTTGGGGCGGGATATTTTATGTGAAGAACGCCAGACGACTGCTACCAAGGAGAAAAACATGGCGGCTGCCAAGGCAACGGTGATGAGTGGCTCGAAATCACTTACTACCAACTTTAGCAACTGGCGACCAATGGATCTGAATGGCTGGCCGTCTACAAAATTCGACACGGCCGCCTGAGTCTTTACAAGAAATCTGCTTCATGGGTCTTCCGTAATCTATCTGACGATGAAGAACGAGATTCGTTGGTCTAGTCCGAAAATGTCTTTTGGACATGGAGTGCATCCCCGCCAAGTTCTCGTGAACAGTCACTATTGACGGGACGTCGGCAATCATGCAACACTCTATACTCATGTTCTCGAGCATAAAATTGCACGTCCTGGAATAAATTCAGACGCCGAAAATCGTCCAGAAATGTGGGGTCACAATCTTTTGTCTCAAGAAACAATTATCGTGACGGTCTGCTACGTCTGGCTTGAGGGCACCCTGGAGCGGAATTGTGCGTCTGGCTTCCATGGCTGCGCATGCGCCGAAACGTATGATTGGCTTGTCAATCAATTTTTAGATCAATTTCATCCGGCACGTGTCCCGTTCGTTGACCTTCCGTCTTCTGACTTTTATTTCCTTTTCATAAATGATCTGATGCAAGGGGACCGATCCTTCAAGTTGTTCAATCCAAACTCCAAATACCCGAAAGAGGTGATTTTAGGGAATATTTCGGTGTTTGATTTTGTCCTCTTAATAATCCACTGACATCGGTGGAAAATACACCATAGTTAAATAGCGACTATTACAGAGGGGGACATTTCGGTTTTCCCCAAATTCCCCAAACACTGCAAGTCGCACGACTTTTGTGACACCCCCGCCAAGCAACGGATCAAATTTTAGAACACCGTTGGCGGACGAATATTCGGCGTGCGAAGTTACGGTATAGTTTAGAATGAGACGGTTTGAACTTGCTGGTACAATATAGCAAGGATAATATGGAACATATGAGAATTAAAGGGGTCTTCAGCAACTGCGCGACTGCCTCAAATCCGATGCCTCGGTCACCTTAGTGGAGGTGGCAAGTTGGGCTAGGTCAGACGCTGTCCGCCAGGAAACCTTATAGGTTAGTGGACGTCGAATATTGCTTCATCGCAATGCTAGAAGACAGTGGATGACGCTCACACGAGCCGTTATCGTGGATTGGTGCGCATGGACAGGCACGAGACCACCGAAGTTGATCCAATCAGACGCCATTACAGTTGTGGTGAGTACATGTACCAAGCTGAAACCCCATAGAAAATGACGAAGTGACTGCATAAATACATAATTTTCTAACTTTCTGGCGCCTTGGTGGAGAGGGCAGCTTTATGATTCCTAAATACCTCTTTTCATTTTGCACAAGGTAATGACAGACAACTTAAAAAGCGTGTCAATAGGAAAACGATGACCTTGCACCGAGGCTTTCCTAAGCAGTGAGAAAAGTGTTTCATGAAACAACACAATACGTTAAATCAAGCATGTAAACTACTGTCTGAACCCAATTGGAGCACAAGCGGACGTCAGCGGCCTTATCCCTTAGTATGGCACATTCGGTATGAATGAAGTCTGCGAGTAGCCGAATTTTAGATGTCCTGGAGAAACTAACTGCATTACGAGTAAATTCGACGAAAGCGCGAGCGAAATTAGGCAAAGCTGAACGTGCAGACGACCAGGTGAGCAGCAGTTTGAGTTCCTTCCGACATAAACAGTGGAACAACCTCCGTCCGCCACAATCGACGAGGATTATCACTGCCTAAAGCGGCAGCGGAGACTTGGACGCGGTCTGGATTATGGTGACTTACGCAGCATTCACATTACATCTCTTTCACTATACTCACCGAGTCCTAAGGTTAGAACAAGAACGAAACACCAGACTATGGATACAAGATACGGTCCGATATAAGAACACCGTCTGCGCGTGCAGCAGGCTCGCGAGTCCCCGCAGGAAAATAACCTATACTTCGAGAAAAGGGCAACGATTCGCTCATTAAATAGAGTTACGCCAAAAGCCACACGAAGAAGCCACTGCGGCCTGATCCCTAGTTCAGAGAAAGGATGAGCTACCCCGCCAATTAATGACTTTTCAAGCTGTGGCGCGTCGAATTTATTGTAGTGGGAAAGCAGGCGCCACCAGTAATCACGTAGGCATATCAACTCAGATCCCACATGCAATATCTTCATCGTCTGTCGGTTTCGCAAACTCCCACATCTGCTTGGACGAGAGGCACGAAGATGTTTGGGGTCATGATGTAGTTAGGTATGTTCTACATAAACCCAGCATGTTCATGAGGGTAAACAGAGTAGACCGGTCTACATAGTTCACATCGGCTAAGTCACTTTCTGAGATGATTAGCTGACAAGAGTATCGGGATTTATCACTGCTTCTCAATAAAATCAGCAGAAATAAGTATGCTGGTGAGGACAAAAACCAGTCAGCCACCTAAGCACAACCCACCTTCAACAGTAATTTCTCAAACTAACGTACCAGCGTGAAGGACAATGGGAATACAATATGGTTCAATCAACTGCACAAAAAGCCGTAACAGGCTGACTTTTGCTATATTCCAAATCTTGACCTTAGTTGTTAGAAGATCCAATTCGGCTCTTGAATGGATATCCTGCCTGAAAGACAACAACGGCAGAGCTTGCTAATAGCTGTCTGCGACCGCTGTAACATCGGACTGTGGCACTCCATAATGACACTCAGCCTGTTAGACCTTAAAATCTTGCATGCAGATAACAGTGTAGCACATCGTCCGCGACTGTTGATTTATCAGACTTAAGTCGACTTACTTTGCAGAGCCTTCAGCAAGAACTACTCCACTATCCGCCACTGGCCGACGTGCCGCTTAGTCAATAGTTCAGTCGACAAGTAGGCTTCTTCATCGACTATGGGGACTTGCCTTCTATAAATACTCATGTGACCAATTCGTTGGAAGGAGCGATGGTTTGGGGGGAGTTATTTCTTTCAACAATTACAATAGGCGACGTTTTAAAGGCATTCTTTCTGTTATTTCTATTAAAATTGGAGAAATTGCAAACTTCGATGGGTATTGCGGCAGTGCTGAGGCGCCGGACTATAATTTTTTCACTGCAGTAGGCTGGCCCGGATGAAATGCCCGAAGAGCAACCAGTTCGACGACGCAACTGGATGCATGTAAGTGATTTTCCATAATCACACGAGTTAACCGGAGAACTCATATTACTAAAGGAGACGTCTCACGTATGTTGCCTAACCAATAGTCAAGCGCGCAGAGTCAAGACCGTGTTCCTTGAATTCCTGGAGGAGGAAATTTCACAGTGAATTCTGCAGAAGTTACAGTGAGATTAAATAAGGCAGACAGTCGCCTTCAGCGTTGTGCACAAAGTTCCTACTCTCGGCTGTGAGAATTCAAGATGATCGTGTGAGTAGAACCCAATCACACACTGAAAGTGTTTTACTGGGCGTTTCTCGGAAGAAAAGACGAAACAAGGGAAAAAATAGTATCTTCAAAAATGTTATGGCGGTCGATAGGAGTTCTACGTGCGCATTCAACTTCAACGCCTACCTGGGCGTGCCCAAGCAACCAGCTACACTAAAGGGTCCAGGCAACAGAAGCTCGATTTAACTCTAGACACCCAGATGTCTGCGAGTGCCATAGAAAGGTAAGACAAGGTACCGTTATGTATATCACCGCAATCTAGGGGAAAGAAGTGCCGGCACACAGCCGCTGCCGGCGTCGCAACAGCAGCAGGCGCACATCGACGAAAACAAACACGCCCGCGCGTGTGTGCACACAGACGCAGGAATGCAGCACGTAGGGCGCGTGAGCGTGTACACAGGCTCCAATAGTAAGGGGCGTAAGACGTAATCAGGCGCACAGTCCGTGAGATTGATATACATGTGTACGCACCAGCACAAGAGCGGATGTACGCGGATCAAGCGAATGTGCATAGACGTGAACATTGATCTGAGTGAGAAGTGGTGAAAAAATATCTGAGTGTACACACGGCACATGCGAGGTAGAGGGGTAAAGACAGCTATATATGGTGTTTTCGAGTTACCCACTACCATGAGCTGCACCCGAAGAG